AGTACCATTTCGAATTCTCCAAAATTAATTTTTCGGTGCATTAAGCCCTGTCGAATGAAAACGATTGCATAAAAGAATATTCGAGACTTAGATGAAACATCGATCGGTTTTTTGCATTTCGGTTAAAATTGATCGACACCCACGAGCCGCGAGAGCACAGGCCATTCTTTATTCGGCCGACACAGCGCGAAATCGTATCATTTTCGAGGAAGGAGAAAGCGAACGTTCCGGCGCGAGCCGATTCAACGACCTCGCGAGCACACGCTCGATGCTGGCGCAGCGAATGACCTCCGAGTGGCAAATAGTAAGCAGATGTCAACTAAATTCAGACCAGAGACGAACGGTACCCCCCGTTGGCGCCACCGCGAATTCGCAGACCGCTGCTCCCTGTGGGCGTCGAGTCAAAGGGTGCAGCGAGCGCGGCTATCGGAAGTGTCGGCGATTAGCGTTACATATGTAAACAATAATCAAGTTTCGAATGCGCCCGACCGATTCACCGCGGCACTCAAGTCTCGAGTGCATCGAAGTATCCGTGACGTTCCAAAGTTGCTGGAATTCGGGTTCCTGGACTTCTGTCTGAGTGTCCAATTACCCGCGTTCTAGAATATTTGGGATCCACTGGACGTTGTTATACTCTGGGTTAGGAGTGGAGAACTCGAGGCCTTACGAGACGTTTAGTGCGACTGGTTTGCATATTTTTTTTTTTAACTATGTATCTTCTCGGACGACACGTATTTTGCACAACGATTTAATTAGCTCGGATTAAAAGTACATGATTTTTCAAGCACGATGGTAAGAATCACCGTTATCTATTACGTGTCGCATTTTACGTCGCAGGGAAATTCTGGGAATATTTTTCATTCTATGCCGTCTGGTGTCATGCGAAAACTATCAGTCAGTTTTATCAAACGAAAAAATCACGATTTGATCTGCGGACGGCATAGTGTTAATGTAAAATAGCACAGAGTATTTGGATGCGTATAATAATTAGAGCGTACATTCTGTGAAAGTACAGAAAATTATTCAAACGATTCGAATCGAACGGCGGAGAAAATGAATGTTTCAGAGTTCTGCGAACAAAATTATTTTATCGGTCACATAATTTGCACTGTTACACACGCGACTGGCCTCCGACCGAACCAGAATATTAATGTTCGCGCTATAATATCATAAATATCGAGGTTAATATGAAAATTCCGTTTCGAATTTCGCGAATATTTATTCGTAAAACGGCAGACGCGCATCGTTGTGGAAAAAATATAACTACAAGGCCAACGAATATTATACATATTCTTTTCGGGAATCAATTGCTTTTCCGACATTTCGCAGCACTGTATTCGTGCCACTGAAATTCCTGAGCTAATTTCACGTGCTAAAATAAAATGCTTCGCACGAAAAGATTCAGCTGAGTCGTACTAAACAACGAGACTGCTCGAATGAAGAACTTTGTACTTTTAACCGCGGACAGATACCATCGGATGAATTATTTATAAGTACCAAATTCCACGATGGACAATAAAAAAAGTGCCGTTCCGCGGATAATCGTGATAAACATTTTCACTGTGATTAGCGTTGCGTGGAGGGCTGTCAACGTTGCACCGTTGTCATCCTGAATCATAATTTTACGTATTAGCGAACCGGACACGTGATTGAAAAGTTTCGTTACGAGTTATCGTCGTTACACAACGGAAAACTTATTATTACGAAAGAGTCGTCCCTCGAGATGAAAAACCGAAGGACAGGTACAGATTCCGTGAACTTGTGAGATATCTCGACGAAGCGCAAACAAAATAATTGAAATATTCAAGTGAGGACTGGTTTCAACTGATCAATTACTTTCCGTTTCTTTCGGATCCTTAAATTAAATATAGTACTCGGCGTCTCGTAATTATCGGGATTTAAACATTTTTTTGTCCAACTTTTATCAACGAAACGGTGAATCTTACACGCGGCAAGAAAGACTCGTAATACAGAGTTCGCTTTGGAACGCGATAACTTCGTGAAAAAGAATCGCCGACTCGTTAAAAAATTACAGAATTAAAGGTCAGACTCCAAAGTTTATTGTTACGTCGATAGGAGCAAAGGCAAAAATTGTTCATGCCGCGTGACTGAACGTTGCATGACCTCGAGCTTGAGGAATGTTCAACTGTTCGACACGATCAGGAAGTCGTGACATCGCTTGCGAAATTAGCTCGACAGGATTTGAAAATTCAAGAATCACCATAATAAAAGATATAATAAAAATTCGAAACCATGATGAGACTTGCGTCATAAAACGAGGAAAAAATCAAAGTTTTTGGGGCGAGCAATGATGAAAAAAAAATTAAAAGTATCGAAATTTGAACAATGTAAGTTTTACTCGGAAAAATCAGAAAATGTTACAGAAACAATGTTAACAAGGAAAACGGTGTTTTGTTTCAGAGAGAAATAGTACATTTTCAGTTCCATCGCGTGTAAACTGTTGACACGCTTCGATAGATCTATCTGTTGCTGGATGAGAATGTCAGGAATCCACGACTCAAGGGGCAAGGTGCCCGTGGTATTCCGAACCGAAACGGCACGGAAAACCGTCCGATATGTTAATTTTCTAGCTGTCGCATCTGGACTGGCACAATCACGGCCTTTGGCCGCGGTCTGTATAATTGACAAATACCAGTGACGTAACGCGCGCCTGCCGTTCGCGTTCGTGCGACGTACGTAGGTAAAGCGCGCGCGTCCTCGAAAACTGAAATAGTTATGACTTGACGTCGCGATAAAGAGGAGGAAAAAAAAAAGAAGCTCTCAGGTAAGCGGCTCGCAGCGATAGCTTATGTAATCTGACAGAAGCCTCCGCGGTTAGGCTGCCACGGCTAGGCTCTCGAGACTCCTCTTTTGCCCCACTTTACGTTTTGGCAGCGACTTCGCGGCCGTTTAACCTTGCCTATCGCCGATCAAGTTCGACCAACGGTCTCCTCTTTATTCAATGGATCGCAAACGTGCACTGTCTGTCCACGTTTGAAACTTCGCGCGACACGCGTGACGCAATAATTCCCGCACTTGTAGCAACCACGTTCTTCAGCGTTCTTTCAAAGATAAACCACCGGGTACACGTTTAACGAAAATTTGAATTTGAATTTCGGAGTGGAATATTTCACGATAACGTGCGGAAAAATGTATTTGGATATAAGCTTGCCTGCTTATAAGGATATAATATGTGCATATAAGTGGGGACGGTATATCTACGATGAGAGTGCAGAAAGTGAAGTGGATGGTTCGAGTCAAGATCGGAAACGTCAAAATTCATGTACGAGCGAGGCTCCGTTATCAATCTGATTGTACTCGTTACTTTTAGCGATTCGACAACCTGTGACAACACAACCTTCGAACAACCTTTGGTCGGTCACTAATTTTCATGCTCAAGATCGTTCGAAGGACGTGTTCAAAATAACGATCAGCTGATCGCGATATTCAACCCTACAGGCAATTTTGTCGTACCAGCAAGGAAACTAAATGATAATTTTGCATACCATATTTCCTCTAAAAGGAAACGAATTGCACAACCCATTAAGCGTGGCTCGAACCACGAACCGGCCGAAAACACACGTCTAATCTGGAGAGAAGTGGCTCGTTGAAATTCGGCTCTACCTATCGCCGACAGCCTTTTAACCTTCTCGATTCTGGATTTTCTTGGTTGGATAAAAATAATTCGACACGGCTCGCGTGAAAAATATTTTCACTGCACTCGATCTTCCTCTACTCGCGTGACGTATGCTTTCGAGCACGCACTCGACTGATAAAAGGGAGCAACGAGAGTCCTCTGACGCGGAACGTGAAAAAATATTGTTCACCTATCGATGACACGAGCTCGGAATAAATATTTGCGGTAAATTATTCGTCGCAGTTAGACTCGAGTGACTCGTTTGTGACTGTTTTCTCGTCAACAAAAAAGGCTAGACTAAGAAAGAGGAGGCTGATTATCGCGATGATCGGTTTTCTGGTTTCGCTAGTCGAGAAGCAAAAGTCACTGTCCACCAATAAACATTTAGATGTTTCCATCGCGATTCAATTTGACTGACGAGGAGACTTTGGTGTCGCGTCGTTCACCGTCCTTGAATTATTTTTACATAATAATTACGACAAAATTCCAGTATCTATTATTTATTTTATTTCTGTCGGGAGATACTATGTTGTCTCGTTCGTTTTGTTTATTATCGAATGACTCACGGCGGACGTGGAACCGTCGAACTACGAAATTTCTCTCAAATTTGAATAACAAATAATACGTCAGAGAGCAGGCGAGTATCAATATTAATGTCTCTGGAGGCGATTCTTTGCACATTCGGAGTAAACATACGTTTGAAACGTACGTCGCGAAAATACAGCACTATTTAGGTAGCACGACAAATATTAATGGTGAATATTATTAATTGATGGCGATGGGAATTAAATGTGTCACGCGAAATATAACGTTTCCTAATTCATATGGGAGAGCGATATTGGTAGAAGGTACATAAAAGTAAGCAGTAAGGAGTGGAGAATTTATTGTATTTACGAAGAAATAACGAATTCGAAGTAACGAAACAAAGTTGAAGCATCGAATACGATTGTTCGTAATAGGAAGATGAAGAGCAGAATTTTAGAATGTTTACATTTGACGAGACACGGAGGAATATCGTGAAGTCTTTCTCCGTTTCTATCGCATACAAAAACAAAATTACGAAATTACCTGGTGGACGATAAAACGTGGGGACTTGACCAGAGGCGTGGGTGGTGTGACCATTAACGGTACACTTGAAAATCAGATCGTTCGTGGATTCGGTAGGCGATAAAAGGTAATGTTCGAATATTTGAAATGTCGGTCGGTAATGTAAACAGAAACGGCGTGTCGCGCGCGCGATGCCAGATAGACCGCATGCATCGAACCGGAGCTGTTCTAGGTGCCAGTCGAACGCGTGTCTTGATCTGGTCGCTGAATTCTTGAAAAGAAAAAGTACGAGCTACCACTCGGTGGCAGTACTCACCTGAAGATCATGACAGCCGTTATCCCTGTGACTGGCAGCACGAATCACCCCTGCACGCCACCCCCACTCACTGATCTTATTCACCTTTAGCTTGGTGAAACCACTCACCGAGAGAAACCTCTTTCCCACGATCTCTTCGCGAAACTTGTACGCCATATTATGGATCGGCAACCGCGGCGGGTCGAATCCGCGAATTCGGATCGGCCAGCCGGGTCTTCCAATCACCCTTTCTCCTCCTCTATCAACGTATCTACGTCTCCTTCTCTCTCACCCTGTCTACCTTCTTCCTTCCACTATCTCAGTCGTTCTCTTTTCCTCTGTTACGATCCTCCGGCGAGCGTGCCTCTCCCCCAAAAAAGAAAACCCCCACGTAGCACTGAACCGCGTCGAAGAACAACTTGGAGCACCTGATCACCACTTCGTTATTTCCCACCAAAACACCAAAACAGCACGGCCCGCACTCCGGGATCGCTCTTCTCCTCGTGATCACGACGGGCCGAGAAACAACAGGGCCATGAGGCGCGCACGATTCTCCTTTCTCTCCCTCTTCTTTCGACAGTCGGCCAGCGCCAGCACCAGCACCAGCAGCAGCACCACAGCCACTCCTTGCTCCTACGTGCACGTCTGGACAAAACAGTACCGAAAAATCCTCGCTTTTTTTCCGTTTCCTTCGTCGCGCTCCTTTTACAGCGCGCTCCACCTGCGCCGTCTCCCCGTTCACGGTGACGGTGACGATCACGATGATCCTGGCACCGACACAGGATTTCGTCTGACCACTCGCCACGTCCAGGACCACACCGAACACGGGGCCAGGGGGGGGGGGTGTGGGGTGTGTGTAGGAGATGGGGGGACACTTATCAAACACCGTGTATACTCGGTGCACACACTATTCGGGTGACGGTAACGGCGGCAGCGCGGTAACCAAGCACTCCGAACGGTACCAGTGTGAACGTAAGAGTGACGCACACATGACCGGCCAGTGATATCGCGTAGCGCGCACTGCGGGCGGACGGCAGGGAGGCACGGCTCCTTCCCGCGACTCCTGCCGCCCGCCTCCCCCCACCTCCCCCCTTCCCCTTAGAGTCCACCTCCCTCGCCGTCCCGTTCCTCCACCCTCCGACCCGTCGCCCTCCTGCTCCTCCACGGCACCTCCATCGCTCCCGCCACGCCGCTTCCTCGTCTCGCCGCACCTCGCCGCACCTAACCCGACCAGCAAAACCCGTGCCGCCGCGGCGCCGCGCCGCGCCGCGCCGCACCGATACTCCCTCCTCACCCGCTATTCCTCACCCTTCTGGCCGCACATCTCACCACCGCCACCCTCCCGCGCAACCCAAAACCCCGCGGCACACTCCGCCCAGCTCTATCCTCTCTCATCTCTTCTCTTTTCTTCGTTTCTCTTCTCCTCGTGTTTTCTCCCGACTCTTTTCGCCTCGACGTTCGCCGCGACGGCGTCTCGGCGACCCGTTCTCTTGCATCGCTCGCCACCCATCGCAACCGGGAGCGCGTAGGGTGAGAAAGTCTAGGGCCGTAGCACCGACCGACCGCGACCAAGCCGCACGGGGCCGCAATTTTGCGCGGGAGGGAGTGTGGAGGTGAAGTGACGACTCCGAGGGTCGCGTTACGACGACAGGCTCCCGAGGGATCGGGCGCTTTCCATCGTCGCCGATAGCTATGGCTACCACCGATCCTCTTTCTTCAAACTTTCCCGACCGATTCGGACGTATCACGTGCTTGCGATCCGTCCGATCCGTTGAGGACCAAGCCGCGTGGTAAGACAGTTTTTCGTTGGGTTATCTATCCTTCGAAAAGTGAACCCTCAGGGGCTGCAGCTACGTTTTGTCGTAGTTACAGTACGGGTTTGACGAACCCGAGGTACCCGAGCCTTTGTAGGACCCATTGTAGGAAACATACTTGGTCTACACACTGTTTTAAAATAAACCAATCAATCAGTCAAGAAGACTAGCAATCAAACTGCACGAAAATAGTCAAGTTACAGTTCGTTCAATAACAAATTCTAAGAAATCCAATAGAAGTCCTAACTATGGGAAGGGTCAGGGGTCAGTCCCAACAGACTTACCAAAACATCCACTATAAAGTTTTGCGTGTTTCATACTGAAGACATCGGAAAAACGAAAATTTAATATTTGAAATATGGGAATGTGTTGTTCATTATTCGACACTTCTCTACTAACAATAATACATAGCAGGTTTTATCGGATTTTTCGTTTTCAGTGGAACAGTTTTGCCAAGCTTCGTTTAATCCTTTTATTGGATTGTCCGGAAAATTCCTGCCTATTTTTAAGAAAAATTCAACGGCATATTTGAATTTTGATTTATATTTATTGAATTATATGTGTACCATTTTGTTCCACAACCTTTCCACCTGTTAAGGAATGCAGACCTGTACCGTCTACTAAAAATCGGCATGGACTTTCCAGACAGCCCACTATTTTTAATTACTACAATCAAATATCAGCATAGTTATTTAATAAAAGCGAAGTAAGATCGTCGCGTATCTATCAAGCTCTACATGGCCGGTTGGGCTAAAGGTTAAAGTTGCACAGAAAAATCTTGATGCAATAGAATATTTTTAAATAACTTAACATTGTTTAGAGGTCTTGAAAATCGTTTCAATTACTCAACATAAATTCTAGTGATTATACTACCACCTTTGCCACCGTACGACAGTCTCGACATTCGGAATGTTTAATATTTTTATTAAGCGATTCCGAACTTGACGAGTTTATCCCTGCAGTTTCGTCATTCGTTTTATTTATTTGTTTATCAGAAGACGTTTCGTTGAACCTAGAACATGATGTTACATGCAAAAATGCCATATTTATTCTTCGACGATGATTAATTACGCGAAAATATATCGCATGACACGTTGTTACCGTCGTGATCCGTTCTATTACAAACTGCGTCGATGATAAACTAGAATTATTAACGCGTCACTTTACGTCAATGAAATTTTACGTTAGGTGGAGCGAACATGCTCGCGACGTGTGTTGCATTAATCGTAATTTAGTAATCGTTGCCATAATTTCTTAAAATCTAGCGAGACAAATTTTACGTTAATCACATCAGATGAATGGAACGAGTAGGTTAACCAAGTGCATAGAATTTTAGAACACGTATACTTGTGCTTTACAAAATTAATCGATTCATGTTTTTGTTTTTGACTGATTGGTTGTTACTTTGCTAGTATTAGGTGAACCGGAAAATAATGTCGTTTTTGCAATTTTATATACTTGTTTATCGTTCATCAGCTCATTGATTTTTATCGATCTGCCATTGGCAATTTGCACGCTGGATGGCAAAGGGTATTGATAACGGGAGCGATTATACAATTAATAATTAAAAATAGAAATTTATAACAAATTTGTTTGAATTTAATGTAAAAGAAACGACATTACTTTCCTGTCCACCTAGTATTTAACGTATTTACTATTATCAGAGTAGAGGGACTTTAGTTTATAATACATACAATGGGTGTAGAATGTATTCGTACACCGATCAATTTCCCAAAAAACTTTTGTGTGAAATTGTAGTTTCTTAACTTTCTTTCTTATAATCAGTGATATTTTACATATTCTCGGAAGTCTCTAAGATACGTATAGTCCAAACATCATTTACTAGTTAATATAATTTGTGAAACTAACAAAAAAAAAAGAAAATGCGAAAAATAGGTAAAAGTATGGAAGCAATAAGTATTTGTACGATTCTTATGACGAACCATTTACGGTAGGGTTTGTAACGTAAACACATTAATTTATTTTGCTCCGCGCGAGTTAGAAAACATCAAATTTCCAGGAAAGTACTTTCAAACAGTTTTACGTATACTTATCGCTTCAACATTTTTATCGATTAATTGTTCTTTTCTTGTTAATTTCGCAACTTACATAAATAGCTATCTTCGTTTGTAATCTATCTATTCTAGAGATTTCGGAGAATATGTAGAATGTCATTGTTTACAAAAAATAAGTTAATAAATTACAATTTTGCACAGTTGTTTTGGAAATTGATCGGTGTACGAATACTTTCTACACCCACTGTACGTCCTTGTACAACGATAACAACCACTGGAAAGACGTTAATCCCGTCAATGGTATTCCTAGAATTTCGTATCGCGTCGAGTTAAATGGCCTGGTGTTCGCGTCGCGCGCTCGGTACAGCCCTGAGGTCACGTGACGAAAACACGACGTGACGTCACTCGCGCAGCAGCAGCCAGCTGCCAGTCCAACATGGTTGACCTGTGAGCAGCGGTGGTACAAACGGCCGTCCGCAGTAAACGCTTGTTTCTTCCAATAGTGCGCGTCTCCAGTAACCGTTAAAACCGTTAATATGATATCTTCGATCGTCTCGCGACTCGTCATGTGAGTATTGTAATTCTATTCAATGGAAAACCGTGGAAACAGTGCGGAGTACACCAGTCAGCTGCGCCTGAATGCTCGCCATCGTTGACCCAGGGTTGTTCGACACTTTTTCACCATTTACGGTTCGTTTTAACTTGGCTTCTCTCTCCCGTGTACGATATATCGACTATGTATATTTTTCGATCGATTCTCTGAAACCGAGGCCCGTTTCAACGTGTCCTAGGAAATCGTTCTCTTTTGTTTCGGCTCCTTTTGATCGAGGAAACGCCAAAAGCGGGATACGTCGACATTGTCGCGAATCGGATCGAAGGTGCAGTGCTCGCAGTGAAATGTTTAAACAATCGTACGCTAATCTATCGTCTCGATGTCGAAGAAATTATGTCACCGCGTCGTCGCAGCGCGACCAATGATTTCCATGTTTGGTTACGAATTCCACGACGACCTCGGTTCCGATTTCTTTCCGTCGTTTCGAAAATCGTAAGACGAACGATGGAGGTATCGATTTGTTAGTGAGAAGGGTCAGTGACGGTTGATTCTACGACGACAGAGGCGTCTCGCGATCCACGCTTAACCTAGGTAAGAGAAAATCTTCTTTACGTGCCCATATTAGGCGAATCGAACGGTAAACAAGGTGATTCTGGCTCGATTGAAGGACGCGAGTTACGTTTCCAGTGAGCGTTTCGTTTAGGGAAAAGTACGTGTCTCGGTTCGGTGCGTTCGCGTGTTACATTAGTGCAATAACGACGAGCGCATCAGTGAAAGTGTATAATCATCGGCATCGTTCGTAGTCGCGAACCTAACCTAACTCCGTAAGTTTCGGGTCTCAACACCAGGCGCCCAACCTACCACTGCGGACGTATACTCGAGTTGCGACACCTTGCGCATAATCCGTGACTTTTACTGCCGATCGAGATGTCATTCTGGTAAATTTAAATCGCATAAATGTTGCATTAGCGTTAACGAGCCACGTGCCAAAATATGGATCAATCCTTTTAGAATATGCATCGACGATACCTCAACACGTTGACCACGATGTCACCCATACATGGGTGACAGTGCTGTTTACTGAAGAAATACAAAAATTAATTTTGAAAGTTAAATATCAAAGAAAATGAATTTATATAAAATATATTTGAATTTCGCTGAATTTACAAAAATAAATAGCACAATAAATGCACGATTATGTAGTCTCCAATAGACAGTAAATAAAATTTAATCGTAGTAGAAATTTTTCAGAGTATTAGTGTAACAGTCAACGTGTTAATAGCGATAAGGTCGTCGGGTTAATAGAAATTTAATTAAACTCGTCGTTGCCTCGTGGTTTCTTGGTTTCCATGCGAGCACGATGCCTCGTTTCACGAGCTATTTAGTCGATGCCATAATAGAACTTGTTCGAGCACGTTTGGACATGTTCCATGTTCTGGATTAGTATAGGTACGTCCTCTCGGTCTTTATTCTTTGTACCCATTTTCTACACGGCATACCGAGCACGTTTAAAAATAACCAGACTTGCTCGAAGGAGGACAAAACGCTCTCCCTTTAATTCGGAGGGGAGGAATCGTATTGCGAGGCCTTTTGTGGCACACAAAACATTGTTGTCTCCGCGGCCGTTGCCATCA